TGCATGTTTCTGGAACGAATTATATTCGCAAACCAAGGTTTTACTGTATTTGTTTCTACAATACTATGCCTAGCATTAAAAAATATTTCCTCTGCATATATTTACTAGCTATTGTTGATTCTCTTTTTAGTGCAATAAAAGAAAACAAGAATGCATCTGAGATTGTTAAAACAGCTAACATGTTGATCACATCCTTAAACACAGATTTTCTCTGGGATTATATGACCACATGTATTGAGGACTGCTTAAGGTAGTTATAGACCCTGTGTTGTTTTTTGCTTTGGAGATAATTGGTCACAAAGAGACTGAATAATAAAGGAACAGTAATAATTTATCTTAAATTCAGAATGCGAAAGCCAGGCAGTTTGAGGCCTATCATAATACGCCCATGTAATATCACTGCTCTGCAAGCCGCATTGGCTTTCAATAAACTTCTGAATACCACCTATAAAGCCCCACATGGTACAGGGCCAGATAATCTGGGGAACTACCTGTCTCCAGTTGTGCTGCTCTACGCACTGATTGTACATGGTAGACAAGGTCCTGGTCCCTTCTGTTAAGCTATGCCATCTTGTGAGAGCCAGGAGACATACTTTCTCTGTTTCAGCACCAGCACTGTGGAACAACTTCCCCCATTTTGATGGGCCCCTACCCTGTTAGCCTTTCACAAGATATTAAAAGGCTGACTTTTCTTCAAGCCTACTGTTAACTCTCTGTGTAAGTTTGAAGGGTTTTATTGGAACCTCTGGCTCACTGTAAATTGTTTTATCATTTTGTTTCTAATTGTTTGGATCATTGCTGTTTTATTACTGTTAGCCATCCGGGGTCACTGCAGCAAAATGGACAGCCATATAAATTGTCTAAATCAATCAATCAATCAATCAATCTGCCATCTATCTCAGTTGGTTTATATTGAAATGCTGGATAAAGTCCTGTTTGATTAATATGACTGGGAGAATTTCCAGGGAAAACCAGGGCTATAGTTAGGTTTGAAAATTGGGGAAAAAAATCATCCCATAAGAAGGCAAAAGTAAACCCCTTCCATAATATTGCCAAGGAAGCAAAGTTACCAAGAGTTAAGCTTGACCTAAAGGAGAGTTTACCTTTTTAAAATAGGAAAATTGCCTTTGATTGGGACTGTTAATGGAAGCAAGTGAGTTTTTCTATCTTTCATTTTTTCTTTTTTTGTGGGGAATATCATGTCATATTTAGGGTCATCTTCAACAGTAAATAGGAACATATCTGTAGCTCCTCTATTGAAATTCAAATATCTATTAAAGTATGCTTGCTTTTCTCTTGGCTGTGTTTTAGGAAACACAATAATTAGTTTGGGAAACAAAATAATAGTATTGAGAAGTTTTTTTAAAAAAATCTATTTCTTTAGAAGAACTACATAACAGCTTCAATGTGTATATTATGTGTATTATGTTTTTAATTGCATTTTGCTGAAAGTTGCACTATGATCAAACTGTAATGAAAAGTTTTTTTTAAGGCATCCTTTTCCTTTCAGCAGCAGAAATAAATCCACACAGACACAGCTTCTAACTAAGAATGCAACAGTTTCAGAACTCTGTATACTAACAGTGTTTCTCCTAGATGTGATACCACTGGTAAGTCAAAGTGTTTTATTTTGTCTCCTAAGCCTTTTATGTAACTTAATTCCTCAGTATGTACAGATCAATTTTACTTGCCAAGGAAGTCTTTATGCGGGGGTATAGTCCCACTGGAGCTATTTGGAGTTATTTTTTGACATAATATATTTAATAACCATATCTATGCTATGTTAAAATATAAGAAACATTTCATTTCATTCATTAGATTTGTACGTTTCCTTTCTACAAAACAAGCAACAACCAGTAAAAAGGAATAAAATTACAAAACATTCAGTTAAACCAAATTAACAAATTACATAAAACTTAAAATAAGAAGGATCACTTGCAACTCAAATGTGTTCCACAGTTTGTGACCAGTACACACATACAAAAAACAAAAAGACTTATTCTCAAGACATGGATTTGTACCATTACGGAAATTGGTTTTCACTATGCTTACTTTATGCTTCAATTTTATAGCATTTCCAAATTGAATAATTTTTAGAAATGTGGACAGAAATTATTGTAGTTTGATGATTTATTAATTAATTATTTCATTTGGTGATTTACACTGCTTTGATCATGGTTACTAATATTCATCTTTGCTTAGAGCTTAACAGCAATTTTTAGCCTTTTAAAACAATATAGTATTTCAGTTATTCACATTTAATTAATGACATATTGGAAAATTATAGCTTCCATGACATCTGCAAATCCCTTGTTTATTGATATGTATTTTATTCTTTTATTCTTTTTTCCTGCTTTTTTCATCTTATTTTTTATATGGGTTCAATGAAAAAGAGAAAAAAATTAAAAAAGAAAAAGTCTTATTTTTATTAGCCAAACAAGTGGGGCTTTGCAAGGAGGGATAACTAGAAGGACTTTTGAAGACCTTAATATCCAGATAGGCTCATTGTGAGACAGAATATCTTTCACATAGCCAAGGCCTATATTGTATAATCCTTTAAAGCAGTGCTTCTCAACCTTGGGAACTTTAAGATGTGTGGACTCAACCCCATTGCTGGCTGGGGAATTCTGGGAAGTCCACACATCTTAAAGTTCCCAAGGTTGACTAACATTTAAAGATTAAGGCCAATTCTTTGAATTTAATTCCACAGTAATGAATAGCTAGTATGCATTATTGATATGATGTGATCATAATACCATCCACAAGTTAGTCCCCAGCTATTAACCAGTTGAAGAACATCTTCCACAGGATCCCAAGGTAGAATGCATCATACTATGTTGTAACTCAGACAGTTCTGACTAATTTCAGGGTACTCAAAACTGGCACACTGTAATTACACGTACGTTATTTGTTGCCATTGCTGCCTGTACTACAGTGCTGCCAGATCTACTGAAGTGATGCAGTCCCACCCTAAAGAGGTCAAATTTCAATCTAAAGACTTGATTTTATTTTCCCATCTTATCTGGCTTTAATTTCAATTTGCTTGTCTTCATTGCTGCTCAGCATTAACTGCTTGCTTACTTGAACCATCTTGCTTTTTATAGGAACTTTATTCTGAAGTACAGTCTCTGTATCTGCCACAAATGCTCAGCTGTATGGCACAATCTCTCCTTCAAAACATGGAAGTATTAAGTTTACCAGAGTTCACACATGTGTTAAGAACATGCTTCAAAGTTCTCAGTAAAGTACAAATGCCATCTGCCTACCTGAGTACTGAAACGGGAAGCTCAGACTCTGTAAGTATAAATATGTTATCCTGATCCATCTTTGCATGAGTTTATTAAGAACATACTGCATATATTTGTATTTCAAACTCTGCTTTTCATAATGTGTGAAGAGTAATGTGAATGTTCAATATAAGAGTAATTTTGGTGGCTGCTTTCTGATAGCTGACATAAAATGGAAATTGTTTATTTAGCTTCATACAATGTGAGAAGTATTCATTCTCCAAAGCAGCATTTCTTTTATAGTTATACTACAATTCCAGTATCTATATAAGAAATTATAATACAGTATGGACAAAAATTGTGCTCATTTAAATATGTTGTAGTGAAATATGGCTTAAAAACAGATGTGTACTTACCTAATTCTTGGAGCAGAGGAATTTTTTTATTTAAAAATAATTGTTGATTCTTGTTTCTAACCTGTTGAGTCTAAAAGATGTACTTATTAATTTTTTCATGTTCTGTTTCTAAATTATTGGCTTTAGCAGTGGTCTTATAAATAAAAAGCACTAGTTTCAGAGTTCAAATTTAGATGAGAACAAACTCAGAGGTGCCAATGTATTTTAAGAAGTAAAGTCTCCAAATCGAGCTTGAGTCCCTGTGGACATATCCAAATAGTTTTCTCAGCAATGGTATTGGAAGTAATTTGCCATTCTTTTGGAATGTTTTTTGAATTCCTAGTCTACCTTATAACCTGGTATTTTCTGGGAATCTCTCATGTAGGTACTAACCAGATGTAAGCCTTCTTAGCTTTTTGAGATCAACCAAAGTCAACTATATGATGCCACTTCGATACAATGTAATTGAAACACCTCCATAATAAACAAATCTCTTGCATTTGTTACCCGTAGGTCTTGACAAAGAAGTAGATCTATTGCTTGTCATGTAATTTGGCACTGCATGCCTATTTTTGAAAAAAAATTAAAACAGCTGTGTATTTATTTAAAGAAAACTGATTCTGTATCACTTAGATAAAGAATAGATATCCTTTCTTGCTGTATGGCAAGAAGGATATCTATTCCTTGCAACTGTCCTAATCTGAATTGGTTCTTATTCATTAGTTTCTTTGTTCAATTTATGTGGCTATCCACTTGCCACACAACTCTGAGTAGGTAAAAAGGAAAAAAAAAAGTGTTCTTCTCATATACAAATTGGCTATTTGCAAATATCCCTTGATACTGATAGAAAACCTCCTTTACATTGTGAAATTGCAATTGTTGGAACACTGATTATACTCATATTAAAAGGGGTAGGGAACAATACAATATACTAGTCTGACCCTCAAACTTCATTTTTCTGCTGTGTAAGACTGGATGCCAATTATGCTTTATATTTTGCACTGTACAAGAATGTCCAATTGTTTTTGCTTAAGTACAACTTTCCAAACAACTAGAACCTTAATAAAGCAGAGTCTGAGATTGCCTGGATATATGTACCCATGTTTGTACAAATGTGAACACAACTCTCTTGGCTGTATTAATGGAAGTCAAACAGAGAAAGAGGCAGGACCAACTGTGAGCTCTTGTTAGTAGGACCATGCAAGCATTTGGCACGCAAGGGCTGCACTTAATCTTTTTGAGGTGGAACCTGGAGTGGGTGGAGCTACATCACATGTGGGCGAGAATGAGTTGGAAAGAATTTGGGAGGTCCACTTTGTTTTTGTTTTTTTAACATACACTATAGATTCATTTATTTTCCACCTCAAAATGACAAAAAACTGTGTTCCCATTTTTGGGTAGTTACAGTCCCTAGAAGCTCTGAGGGCTGCAGAAAGGAATCCAAAGCCATCTGGGGCTTTGGAACTGCAGGTTGCCCAAAACAAGAATTTATGTGTGCATCTCAAAGAAATGTTAACTTAATTCGTGTCTTCTTAACTCTAAGGATATCTTTATTCTTACTTAAGGATTTTTTTTTGCTGTTATGTAAAATAAATACATTCATATTTAGAGCAAGACATACTTATTGCAATATTGCAGAGTCCTGTAAAGGAAGATAACCAGGAAATAAGGTCAGAATCCAAGGTGCTTGAAGATAAAGAAGATGCTCCTTTTCCTTCACTGAAATCTGAAGACAGCGGCATTGCTCTTAGTGCTTCATCACCTGAACTGTTACAGCACTTGAGGATACCTAGGATAATTCCTGACAGAGATGATGTCTGGAAAAAGGGTGGAAGCATGCAGATGACTTTGCACTATATCCAGGAACTGGTTGCAAAATTTGCCAGTAAACATACATTTGAGGTTCATTTGCAGAATTCCAATAATGACAGTGTCTCAAAAGTTGATGTCAGACAAGGAAATAACAAAGAGAATAATTACCAAGTTGCCACAAATACTGGGGGGGAAAGGCACTCATGTGAATCCAGGCAGATAACGGTGCCTCAGTTGAAGCAAATGCTATCAGATTTCTTCACTGTACGAGGATCACCTTTTAAACAGAAAGGTCTGGAGCCTCCCTCTCCTTCTAATGAACGTGGTAGTCCAAGGGATAAAGAGGAGAAAGACTGGGACCTTGATCAAGTTATGTTTGATTTGGGAGATACGCGAGAGGATTGCAGAGAGGCCTTTTCAGCTCTGTGCTATCTCTTACTAGATTGCACTACGTTCCCTGTTTACCTTTCTGAAGAAGAATCTGAACTATTGTATTTGTCACTCTTTCAAGTGTCTGGTAAGAACATCTCATTCTAACATTCTGATAATTTCACATCACAGAAGAATGCAAAATAAGGAGGCTTTCAAGGGAAATTTTCACAAACACTAACATAAAATCTATACATTTATCAATATAATTATAGGATATTGCATCAGAATGGTATATGAAAACTCTAGTAGATGCAATCTTAATTTCGTCAGTATACAGAGAATGGGCATTCATTAAAAGGCTAATGATCTTATGGTATGGTCTTAACTCCTAAGGAATTAGGAGTGTATCACATTGAATACAGTGGATCCTGCTATTCGGTAAAATTGTATGCTCGTCTGTGGATGTTATTTCTGTATTTCCCTTGCCAGATGTTAATAACTGCTTAGTTTAGTAATTTGTTGAATAGCTTAATTAGCAGATTGTCAGCTACAACACCACCACTAATGAAATTAGATGATGAGTACCAGCTAGATTAGCATCAAAGGAAAGCTTGTGAAAAATGAGGAGTTATTGGCGTGCTTTTCAATAATTGCAGAAGTACAGCTATTTCATACTAAGAACCACCATATATGTGTAAGTAAATAGTTCAGAGAAGCTAAGCATTCTTAGTAGCTATGGAATATTGAATGTCACTTGGAAAAAAAGTATTCATAAGGTTGTTAGAATCTATACAGAATAAGGTTGTTAGAGTCTATATAGAATCCCAAGCAGAAATACTGGTGTTTAATAGATGAATATACACTAAAAATATTAATGCAAGTGTGAGATGTGTATTTACTAAATTTAATGTACATCACTCAATGTGGGAATGTCATTTTATATTTTTAAAATTACCTGTTAATGATTATTTGAATAATATACTAAACTCTTTGTCACTTTCATTAGGAGGTAGTGAATCCAGTTTTCCCCTGTGGCTCAAATCCTTGATGACAATATGTTGCTGTGTTAATGACTGCTACATTCAGAATTTGGCCATTTCTGTACTGCTAGAAATAATCAACCATTCCCAGTCACTGGCATTGGTTATTGAAGACAGAATTAAGCGATATAAAATTCCTGGGCAAAATCCCTTCTTTGGAACACTGCAGATGGTCACAGTTCCTCCTATTGCTCCTGGAGTCCTAAAGCTAATTTCAGAAAAAACTGATTTCTATCAGGTGCTGTGCTTTTTTTTTCCACTTAAGATGTTTGGGCACATGAGATGGTGGAACAGATAGAACTCGTATTATTATTATTATTATTATTATTATTATTATTATTACTACTACTACTACTACTACTACTACTACTACTAGATGGCTAATAGTGTTACTTTCCTTAATCTAATCCAACAAAATAACAGAGCCACTGAAGCAGGGGTTCTCAAACTTTCTGCAATCATCTGTCTCTAAATAAACATTTAGAAAATGTGGGGACAACCAGTTAAACAAATACTCTTTCCCTACATTTTTGTCTTTAACAGCCTGGGAGTTCATTTGTTGTTTAACAAATAGGATAACAATTATAACAGTGTTATAATAAGCCTTCTCATCCTTCCTTTTTTAAAGGTCTTATAAGATGACATTTTTTACTAACATTTTAATCCATAGTTAATTGTTTAGTTATCATTGGAAGTATTTTGTATAGCCAGTGGCATAACAACAACAACAACTCTGAGTATAAACTTGATCAGCAACCAATTCAATAGAAATCTATGAGTACTAAGGAGCTACAGTTAAGTGGATCTCCAGCCGAATTAAAACCTATATTTAGATATTTGTTGTCATATTTCCCATTTATACTATTCTTTTTAGATAACTGATACAAGATCACAATTCAAGTTAGCACAGCATAAGTTGACTCGTGGTCAGTAATTGTAGTCAGGGCATATTTGCTGCTGGAGTTAGTGGTATATTAGTATTGCTGTTGCTTGTATTATTGTAGGCTTTAGTGAATCAGTTGACTGGTAGCGAATATGGGGAGGCAGGGGCTAAGTGGAGAACAGAGACTTTCCAGGTAACTGGTGGCCAGTGTGGGACTGTTGTGTCAAGGAATCATTGAGAATCATTGAACTAAAGGAGCTGCATTAGAGATGTTGAAGGAGCAGAAAGACAAATGGAGACAAAACATTAATTTACAGTAATAGCATGTGACAATGCCATCCAAGATAACCTGCAATCGGTTTTATCTATTAAAGTAGCTAAGCACTACAGTGGCCAGGACTGAAGACAGTGAGCAATTGTGAATAACTGCGATAAAAATAGGAACTTACTCATAAGGAATGCTGTTAATATCTTGTTTCTTTCCATATTAATTCTGAAAAGTATTCAAAGCTCCTCTGTATCCCTAGGAAAAAAAATTCTGTATTAAATGTTGAAATACAACTTAATATAGAATTAATGAAAATTAAAAATTTAATGAAAATTAAAACCAATTTAGTAATATACAGCTTCCTTTATCCTGTGTTAAATCTTCCTAAAATGGATAATTTGATTTTTTTTTTTTTAATTACAACAGAGAGTTGCTCAAGTGCTTTGGAATCAGCTGAACAAAGAGACACGAGAGCATCACAACACCTGTGTAGAACTGTTCTACCGTCTGCATTGTCTAGCTCCATCAGCTAATATCTGTGAAGACATTATCTGTCATGCATTACTGGATCATGATAAAGTAAGACTATGTTTTGCAATCCTGACCTAAATCAAGTTTGCACAGTTTTACTTGGGTCTCTTGAGTAGCATGCCAGAGTCAAACTTCAAAATATATAAAATTATCCATGAAATATGAATAATTAAATGTGAACTAAAATCAGAATAATTAAAAACAGTTGATATGACTAACCCCACTTATTTCATTATTTCCCATTTCTGTTATCTAAAAATTAGAATTCAGCAGTATTTTGAGGTCCTCAAGTTATATACCACTATTATAGAAGATTATACATGCTTAAATATAGTGCTATAGTTTGGGGAAATTCCAACATCGCAGTCATACAGAGTTATGGAAAACATATTTAATAAACAAAACATAGCATAAGAATTAGAATGATTAGAAGTTTGACATCAGGAAAACAAGGATAAAGTAATATCAGAGCATTTTAACTTCCTGGGACATTGTATCACAGATCTCAAAGTAACATTTTGGAAAAAAGAAACTCTTAACACCACAGCCAAGTGAGAGATTGCTGAACTTACATGCCAAGCTCTCTCAAAAAGTCTCACCAAATACAATGGCTTTTTGACATACTACACTTGTTCATTGGTAATGTACGTGTGATCTGTCTCACATGTAACCTGCATCTGTATAACCAACCTGTCTTTCCCTCCCTCTCTGTCCCACCTCATCATCCCAATTTAAATCCTGTATCAGTTTAACCACTCCATGCATCTGATGAAGTGAACTATAGCTCACAAAAATTTACACCTTTTAATAAAATGTGTTACTTTGAAAATATGCTACCAGACTCCTGCTGATGTAGGAAGAATGAGTTGGTCAAAAGGAAGGGGAAAACAGAGAAAATTGTGATTGGATTGATTTAATGAGATCCTCAGCAGGAGATGATAGACAGACAGACAGACAGACAGATAATTTTAAAGGCAGTGGATTGATGTGATAGAAACGAGAATGATTTCCAAGGATATAAATTTAAGGATATGTATAGTAAAAGATTTGGTGCAAACTAGGCTTTTTTTATATTTAGCTCTTTTTCTTACATTTTAATTCTTTTGGGTTACTGTTTCTTATTCTTTTTCACAATACTGCTTTCCCCCAAAGCGTATATATGATAGATCAATATAGATGAAAATAATTTTGTTAAATCCTAATTTCCCAGAACAGTTATCATTTCCCAAACTTTTTTTTTACTTTTTATAGTTTCACTATGAGTAACAGGGAAAACCCTTTTTCTTTTTCCCCTTGGCCAGTGATTTTAATTCTAGAGACACAAAAGTGGAAATATCTTCCCATTTAATGCCATAATATTTAAACTGGTCATACTCACTGATTAAATTATCTCTGTGGAAGCTAAACTATGATTTAACTTTGTTTTCCTGGTGATCACAATGTTACTTGCTGCAAACCAACACAGATTATATTTATAGTATGGAATATAGTGGAATATAGTTAATTAGATAATTGTGAAACAACTTAGGTATGCACTAGTAAAACTAGTTTATTTATAAAAATTGTTCAAAAATGAAGAAAGAATATATTCAGTCATCCCTCATGCTAGTAATGTTTTCTCCCTAAGCGTCATATTTCTGTGATTGGCAAAGATTAAAAAAGAATTGTTAGATTGACTGCTGCCATTTTAAACTTGACATTTGACATTTTCTAGAAACACATTCATTGCTGTTTTAAATTTTGTGGAATTGTAAATATTGATTTGTTTAGCTACCTATAGGAAAAAAAATACATAAATTATAAGTATAATAAATGCTACTAAGAACTACATCCCATATCAGCAAATTATTTTCATGTTCCATAATTATCATGAATATTTGTAGGCTTGAATGATAGAAATATGTATATTAAAATATAATACATTTAACTTTTTCTTATATTTTGGATTTTTTTCCTGCAAGTGTATGAGGCTGGAAGCGCTGTTCAGATTCTCCATTATGTGGCATTTGACCAGGGAAATTCAGGGCAGCAGACCTACATCCCACAGCCGATCTTTTGATAGGTATGGCTATTCTGAATTTGTATATTTTGATAAACTGTATTTAATGTAATCAGTGTAACTGAAACAGGCTACTGATGCAGTCCCATATTTGCACAAAGCTGTTTATTTTCATTTCATTATTAGAGTAATAGGTTTTTGTAAGCTGTGTTCTAGTCTTCTCAGAACATTATCATTGTTTCAATAGTGCTGCCTTCTATTAATTTTTTTCCTGTAGATCCCTGTTTGTTGTACTGGATAGTCTGAATTATTCAGATGGAGCAATTAGTGCTGCAGCACAGGGTTGGTTGATACGAGCACTCTCACTTAACGATGTTACAAGAATTCTTGAACCTGCTCTTCTGCTTTTATTACATCCGAAGACACAACGTATCTCCCTTCACTGTATCAAGCAGAAAAACTCAGCAGGTAAGATTGTGCTTAGGAAAACTCTTATCAGATCAGACCAAGATAACTTCTAGCCTAGGATATCTCTTTCCCAAGATGATCACCCAATGTGTCTGGGAAGAATACAAACAGTGGGTCTCCTTTTACTTCTCTCTGCCAACGAGTTAATATATTTGGTGGCATGTTTTATTTGAGCTAGAGTTTTATTTAATGAGCATGGATAATACTATTTATAGATCTGTCCTCATAATAACTAATTTAATTCTTTTTCAAGTTACTTAGTTGCTGGCCATCACCATCCTTTGATATACGGAATGCTATAACTTAGACTGTCTTCTGAATGTACTGAGAGTTCACCTTACTGGATCATGTATGGGAAAAGAATAAAAAATTTACATCACATTAAATTAACACATTACATGCATATTTAAAAAAAAAACATTGGTCCTTTCCTCATTAGTACCTTTTTCCTAAAGAGAACAACAATAACAAAAAACCACCTTAAATTTTCTTGAAATGAAAATGCTGTAAGTCCCTAATAATTAGATCCACACCATAAAATAATTCAAAAAGTTACAATTACACATTTCAGACTTGACAAAGCAGCAGTATAGATATATATGAAAGGCATTATGATAATGGTAATTCTATTTTCAGTCCCTGTCCTCCCTAGTATGGGATTTTCATGGAATTTTCCTTTTGCATAGCTGCTACATGAAATATTGTATGTGTGTGTATGTATTTAATCGATATTCTGTTCAGTTAAGTACATAATATGGAAATGCCATCTGTCCTTTTGGTAGCTAGAGGATATTTGCACTGACAAAAGTGTGTGTGTGTGTGTGTGTATAAAATCCTCTCTCACCCTTATGAGTGGTATGTGTCTTCTTCAGTTTTGGGTCGTCTACCAGAGGAGTTTGAGGGTTCTGTGCAGTATCTTAGCTGTTCCTAGCACTGCACTCTTCTGGACAGAGAGCTCTGTTATTGTTCCTCTGATGTTTGTTTTAAACTGTATGTTCTTTTTAGAAAACATGCATCTATGGTATACAAAGAAAACCATCTTTCAGGAGTCACTGAGGTCTCGTGAATTGTGTGAAAGTAGTTCTGAAGAAATTTTGCCACTGAGCCAGTTCACAGTTGTGGACAGGGAAGCTATATGGGCTGAAGTTGAAAAAGATCCAGAGAAATCTCTGTTAAAAAATGAACTCTCTGTAAACAATCCTTCTCTGTATGGTGAAGCACTACTAGAAATGGGCAAGGATGAAAGTGAACACACTGAATCTGCTGATACCAGCACTGAGCCTTTGGACAGTGATAATACATCATCATTTTCTCCCTCTCTCGAACAGCAAGATCTGACCAATGAGGAGAATAATAGTGCCTCAACAGATGGCAAAAATAGTATGAAACATACTGGTTCTTCTAATGTTTATCCCGCTGATAGTTCAAAATCAAGTGCTGCAATAAACCTGGTACGTACCGATTCCGACAGAACACGGGCATCAGAATCTCTCTCAAGTGATGATGAAGTGGATTTGGAGCTTCAAGCACTTATAACATCTAGATTACGAAAGCAACAGAAAGAAAAACAGGAGATGGTTGAAGCGCTCTTTAAACATGTTCTCTTGTACATGCAACCATATGATTCCAAAAGGGTCCTGTATGCATTTTCTGTGCTTGAGGGAGTGCTTAAAACAAATCCTAAAGAGTTTACTGAAGCTGTAGCAACCACTAGCATGGATACAAGTTCTACAGCTCATTTGAATTTAATCTACAATCTTTTAGCTCGCCACCAGGAATCACTTGTGGGACAGAGCTTCTATGGAAAACTTCAAATTCAGTCACCAACCGTGTGCCCCCATTCGTTATTAATAGAACTGTTAATGTATCTATGTTTAAGTTTCCTGCGTTCTTATTATCCCTGTTATTTGAAGGTGACTCACAAAGATGTGCTTGGCAATAGGGATGTCCAAGTGAAAAGTGTTGAAGTCTTGATCAGAATGATGACTCAGCTGACTACAATGGCCAAATCAACAGAGAGCAAAAATATAGAATTCATATGCAACTTGCTTGGAAGATGCAAAATTCAAGAGTTTGTCCTACTTTCTCTCTCTGTTTCTATGTATGTTAGTCAGAAATGCTATGAACATTTGTTAGCTAATAAGACGAATGGTTTAAGTGAACACTATATCCTTGAGGAAAGCCTTATCAATTTTGGTCATGATCAGATTTGGAGTGAACACCCTTTACAAATTGAATTGCTTAAACTTCTGCAAGTGCTGATAGTCTTGGAGCACCATCTTGGGCAGACTCAAGAAGAGCAGGAAAATCAGCCAGCCCTGTCTAAGGAATGGCAGAGGGCTCTTAGCTTTCAGGAGGCAATTGGTGCTATGCAATATGTGCATCCACACCCTATAACGTCGCAAGGGTTATTTGTGTCTGCAGTAGTTCGAGGCTTGCAGCCAGAATATGGTTATGGCATGCATCCATCTTGGGTAGGCTTGGTTACATACTCTTTGCCATACTTTGGGAAATCGTTAGGATGGACAGTAGCCCCATTTATTGTACAAATATGCAAGAATCTGGATGAGCTTGTCAAACAATATGAGCATGAAATTCTGAAGATGTCGACTAAAACATCAGCAAGGTAGGGGATACCTACTTGTTATCTTTATGTTTTGCTAATTTAGGCTTTGGCTGGCATGAAATATTTCAAGTTTTCAAAGTAAAAAGTTAATGCCTGCAGTGTGCTTGATTTTTTTCTGTGTAAGAGAAAGATATAAGAAGGTAGGAATATGTTTTTATACATGGTCAGAATATTGTACCAGAACATTATTGTCTGGGGTGACTAGCAGCAACTAATGCTGGTTGAACAGTTTTTGCAAATGACTAAAACTTGAGATACCAGGAATTTGGTACTGAGATCCTTGGCCTATAAAGCATATGCTCTACCACTGTACAGTCCCTTTTCTAAATTAGGTGGTTCCATCAAAAGGAGTCTACAGATGAGGAAAAAATAAGATCTCATCTTGGGTAGATTCCTTCCTTACAGAAGATTCTGCTTTTGTTCCCCCTGTCCAACTTTTTAGGGAAAATATTTAGTTACATTTTTGTTTTTAATGGATAAAGGATTCTTGGCTAAATAGCCACAGCATATAGTTCTCTCCAAGAAATGAGAGTGTGAATAAAAGAATAAAAGGCTAACGGACAGTAACTTATTAAAACTTTCTTTCCTAAAGCATAAATTATAAAAGGGAGAACATTACACCAGATTATCCTTTAACTCTTTTGGAAGGACTTACAACTATTGGCCATTTTTGTCTTCTGGATCATCCAAACCAAACCAAAAGGGTATGTATATGCAACCCAGAGGTTCTTATAGTAAGATTTGCGGGGGGGGGGTGCAATTATAGCAAAGAAAATATAAGAGAGGTTTGTTTCTTTTGATATTGACTCATCTCAAAATGATAAATGATCCCACTTTGTAAATCTTAAAAACATGTCTATATATTTGGTGTCAAAATGGAACTAGGTTAATTTTGAGAAATTTAATCAATTAATAAAAATCTTGCTCATGTTTTTTATTTTACTGATTTTTTTTTCTTCTCAGTCAACTTTCAATGCTGATCCAACGAACCTAAGAAATGCCAGGAATGCCATTTTGGAAGAGCTTCCTCAAATCATTAACACCATGTCTCTCCTCTGGAATGTCATTAAAAAGGAAGATTCTCAAAAAAGACCATCTGATTTCCTAGGAGTAAAAGGCTGTTCATCAGTTTATTTTAAAGCAACAAAAGTACGAATGCTTCTGTTGTAAGCTTTAATCTATAGGCGGGATGCCCCACTGTTGGAGCATATTATAAAATTTTCTAATATGGAATATTTTACAGATAGCATGGAAGTGATTAACTATTTTTTCAAAAGATTACATTTTGAAACTTAAAACACTAGTGTAAAATAACCTTATACCAAACAATTATAATTCCCATTGTTTCAATCTTTCCAGTTCTAGTTTGCTATTATTAATCGTGTGTGTGTGTGTGTGTGTGTATATACACATGCATACACTTCTTTTTTTCAACAGCCATAAAGTTAAGCCATAGTATTGTTCACCACAACTTCATCCAATCAGGGTCATAATCCCTGGAATTTACAAACAAGAATTGTCTATGAAGGAACAAAAGATATGATTAGTATGTTCTTCACTTTTTTAAAACAGATATTAAAGAAAAAAATCCTAGACTTCTTGAATCCCCTCACTGGACAACTTGGTGTGCAACTAATAGCTGCTGTAGCTGCAGTTTGGAGCAGCAAAAAACCTCATAAATACCAAACAAAGGTAAGAAAATGCAAAATACCAGTGGATCATTCCACTGCTAGAATTAAGCCAGATCCATTGCATCCATGCATACAAACATATATTCCCTTTTAGGGTAAGCAATGTTATGCCAAACACATAACAGGTGTAGCAAATAGCAATCCAAAGAAACTGAACGTAGGAGGTAAGGTTAATGTAGTTTACACCAAACATTCACTATACCTCTCCTTATCTTTCTGTCTTTGCAGATTATCTTTGTTTCCACCATATCTACACAGTGCATCATAAAATGCCTTTCCTTCTTTGAATTTCTGACTTTTCTTTTCCAAGATCTGATCTACTTCATCTCACCACAACTCTCTTGGTCTTCCCAGTCTTCTTAACCTATTCACTCTTCCTTTGTTTCTTTTGTGATTTAATCCTTATTCATTCTTGATATACAGGTTATTCTCAGTTAACGACTGCCCTGTTTAGCAACCGTTCGAACTTACAGTGGTGCTGAAAAGTAGTTTTATGACCAGTCCTCAAACTTATGACTGTTGCAGCATCCCTGCAGTCACATGATCGCCATTTGTGAGCTTCACAGCTGGCTTCTGACAAGCAAAGTCAGTGGAGAAGCTGGTGGTAAGTCACAAGTCACAGTCACGTGATATCAAGCTTACGACCTGCAGTGATTCAACTTAACAGCCACGGTGGAACTGACATCATTAGTCTGCCTCAGTCATATGATGTTTCACTGAACAACCGCATAACTTAGCAATGGAGTTGCCAGTCCCAATTGCAGTCGTTAAGTGAGGACTACCTGTACTAACAGATCACCAGCAGCCTTTCATTCTTGATTCTGTCTTGTTTGACCACGCATACTTCTTAAACATCCCATTTGCTCTGCATTCAGGTAACTTTTATGATGCTCCAGACATAACCAATTCTGTTTCCCACATAACCAAGTGGTCAGAAGCACACTTTTATACACGACATTTTCAGTTGTTTTGACATTCATTCCTTACAAAGTACCCACTATCTTTCAACCAGCATTTAAACATCTTAAAAGTTATCCGTCCATTCCCCATGTTTAGTAAATTCTACTAAAGTACAAGCATTCATCTAGTTACTCTAGTTCTTTGCCATTTAAGTCTATTTTAACAACTGCTCTATCCAGCTTTCCTGTCAAATACAACTTTATTTTCTTTTGATAGATTAATGTCAGATCCATACTCCTTGCATTATATAATTTAACATTCACTGCAAATCTTTTGGGTTCTGGGCCAACAACACAGCATCATCTGTATACAAAAGTACACATACATTCACATCCCCAACCAACACACCTCTGAGATCACTACAAATATTCCTTTTATATTTAAAGACATTAAATAACCCAGGGGATGTTTTTCATCCGTGCTTAGTGTTGAACCATTCATTAAGCATTCCATCTCCTTTTACATATGCTTTACTTCCACTATATAGCACTCTTATTACAGTCAGCAACCGACCTTCACCTCCATGTTCACACAAAACATTTCTATTCACTCAGTCATATGCTTTCTCATATGAACAGGGACTTTGCATAGAAACTGCCTGATGGATTGTGAATTACTTAGCTTGGTAGATGTTCATCAGTAAATTTTAGCTTTAAGTACCAAAACTACTTTACATATTTTATCTGTCTAATCAATGAGTTTGCATTTGATTCCAGTTGTTCAGAAGACACACTAAGCCTGGCTTACCATCAATCATGATCAAGAAAGTGAACGTTTTTCAAATGATAAAGCAAACTAGAATTAATCTTTTTTTTTTCATTACATCCTGCTAGAAATGCCATCAAACTCCAGCTCTGTAGAACCAGCTTCATCTGATTTGTTACTTTTAGGAAGTCACAGGTTATATGAAATTGAAATGTAAAAATGCTCCTTCCAGGCCACTATTCTCTGGCAAAGTAGTATTAGTGTCTTTAAGCTGAAGTTTCTGGGGATTGGGGTGTAGGGTAGAGAAGACTTCATGGACATATCTGTCTTGAGGTTCCAAATACAAGTACTGAGTGCATGGGACATCTGGGAAGGTCCAATCTGGCCTATGTATTGGATGTTCCTCATCCCTGTAGTAGAGTGAATATTTTAAAAAACACGTATGAGGAATATTTTTGTTTTACTTTTTTCTTTCAGATGCCTCCCGTAGCTAATACATCTCAGCTAATATTAGTTGACCTTGTTTGTGCACTCAGCACCCTGAAGACTGACATTATACTGCAGCTAATAAAAGAAGTTGTAAAGAAACCTTCCCAAATTAAAGGCGAAGAGGTAGAAGTATATTTAACAGAACAGTTTAACCAATCTAAATTGATGAAATAATATCTAATTGTCTTTTTGTGTTCAGGCAGGGAAAACAAGCTATATTTAATGTTACCTTTTTCATTAAAAGCTACAACGGGGGGGGGGGGGGAGGGGGGGAGATAACTTTTATGCCATGTTTCATAATGGAAAAACTATCCAAGCCATCTCATGAGAATTAAGATTAAAAATATGTCATACAAATAGGCATTAAAATACTCAAAGTACCCTTTTAAATCGAGATCAAAAATTATAAGCAGTGCCAATTTAAACATCCAAGTAAAAGAATAAGGAACAGGATAAAACACACTGGAAAAACAGCAGTGGACCAGATGCTCTGACTGTTGCTTCTTCATCATGGTTGCTGTATGTGGCCTACTCTTGAATTATTCTCCATGGAGCAGAAATTTGTCTAATAGATTTGTGATCAAGGGAACTATGGCTAAAGCTATAGCAGTTTAGTGAATTCTGCTTTTGTTTCAGTTTCTCACAGCAAAGAATGTAGATACCAGCTGATGAGACAGTTGATGTTGGTCAAAGTTGATTTTTTTATCTTCCATTTATTTACATATTACTGTATTAAACTGGCAACATTAAATACCAGAAGTATCAATTTTCCAGTACTAGGAAAGTGCCAAAAAAATGACAATACATTTATTTTACAATTACATAAAAAAAAAAAGATTTTGTGTTGTATTTTCCATGTACCTTGAGAAAGAGTGGTACCAAAAAGGGAACTCAGTTGTGATTGAAAGATAAAAACTAGATTCAGGATAAAATTAGAAGTTTCAGAGGTAATGACTGTTGCAGAATAAATAGAGCAGGATTTAGGTGGAAAACAAACTGTGCTTGGAGAAGCAACCATAATAACAGACTGATGTTTGAATTTGAGTTTGGTTTCTAGGAATATGGAGTGGGTAAGTGAGTGCTGCTAGCATCACCCAATAGTAGAAAAACAGATATGCTGGTTTAATGTATCCTAAGTATGTCTATAAATCTCATTATGCAAGAATATATGTTTACATTGAATATATAAGAATAGAATTCATGAAATTTGTAATGGTTTCCTACAACATTTGGTTAAGTCAGAAATTCAAATGGCATTATAAGCAAGCTCTAGCTTCTATCCGAGTTTCAGAAAAATTCAAATATTTTAAGGCCCAAATCCCACTCTTTTTAATGGTAAAGGAAAATCAGTTGTGAAATTTAGATCTCAGAAGTCTCTTGCTTGGTTTAGTGAATTTTTTGCCAGATATTTATTTTATTTATTTATTTATCGTATTTATATAGCCACCCATCTCTCACAAAGTGGCTCTGAGTGGCGTACAACAATTAAAAAGAATAAATACATAAAAACAATTACAAATAAAAAACACAAATCTGAAAAGTGTTTCTTTAGTTCTTTTAGAATGTTTGGATCCACAATCTAAGATAGCATTCTAAACAGATTTAGAAAAACACAGTCTATTTTCTACTGGAAGACTGATTTATGTTGAGTTGGCTATGTTGAGAATCGGATTAAATACAAGGAACTACAGTCCTACAAATTGGACCAATGCAATGAGGAATAGGAAGGTTGCATAGTGTGATTACTAACATGCCTATTACATTTTCTACAGTCCTTTGATGTAGCACCAACTTACAGTTTTGCATTAAACTTATTAAAATGAATATCTACTGCAGAAGCTATTCTTGTAGCTTTTACCATTTGTAGATCTGCAGATAGCAGTGTGATAGGCTAACATGTGTCAGAATAAGACCATTTCAGAAGAAGGTACAAATCATGTAATATGTAGTTTTAAAGTTAATGCAGTATTTGAGAATTAAAGACTGTGGGATAAAGAAAAAGGATTATCTCATGGATCTTGCAGGCTTTAACTCGCAGCTAATTTTCCAGGCAGAAATGCACATATACATGCACATTCAGTACTGATAAAACTAAAGGATAGAAAGAAACATTCCAGATCAATCCATAATAGAAATAAGAAATTTTTTAAAAAGCTAAGAAGAAAAGGAATTCACATTTCCCTGGATGGCTATTTTTTTCTGATTCTTCAACTCTTCTCCAGGTTGGGGAGAATTTCTTATCTATAGCAGGAGACAGCTTGGGAAAAGATGCCATCTCCCCATGAGGGAAGGCAAAAGAACAAAGAGAAAATGGAACTGCCTCTTCTCCTTTTAGAGAAGAAAACCTTCCTCCTCCTGATTAGTTGTCCAAGTTTGAGTTTCCCAGCCTTCTTAGTCTCTGCCACCATCTAAATGGACAGATTTAGTTCTAATTAATACTTTCATACGTGAACCTCTTAGAAAGTTCTCTTCCCCTTCACTACGTGGGTGATCTTCTGTTCAAAATGGTTTGGGAACTACTCTATTTTAAGCAGCTTGGCTAGGGTTTTGTGGATTAAGACTGGAATAATAATAGAATCAAAACAATCTGAATGGAGAGCATTTGGTAGTTTAAATAAGAGCAGTTGGCGGTTGAATTGATTTATTCTTGATAATTATTGTAAAGATAAATCAAATGGAAAATCTGTACTTTTAGAGTTTCCTGAGGGAAAATTATGATTCGTAATGTGTGAAGGTGATCACTATTCTTAGTAACAGCATGCAGACAAGTTTTGTTAATGTTGATAACTGCAGCAGAAGAGAACATCCACAAGAATTCTGCTTACCATGTTATTAAATCTAGATGGAAAGAATTCTTCCAACAACTCTCTTGATTCATACATGTGTAATACTCCTGCTTCTGAATATACAGAAATGGATGATCTTGTTACTATATATCTCCTTATTGCTGTGATAGGAAGCTTATCCATGGCATTTGGGTGTATTCACAGACATTATTCCAGCGGGACACCGGCAAGGCAAAGCAGCTGTACAGTTACATATACACAGACAGCTGGGAAAGCCTTTGAAGCAATGTCCTGAGCTTTCCCAGAAGATAGAGCTGGTTTAACACTGCAACACTAACATGCTTTTTAATATTTTGCACAGACATATTGCTGAACAATCTCAATGTCTGTGTAGTTTAACTGATCTGAAGACTGCATGTAATATTATACTGAGGAAAAGATTGTGGGAGAAAAATTAGTAAATCAGTAAAGAGTTTCTTTCTACAATACAGTTCCTTTGTATAAATACTTCAGTAGGATTAGAATGAGCGTATATACAGAACTCTCAAGCTGATGAAAATTTCAGAGGGACAGTGCTAAGATTTGACTATTGTTCCTTACATATAAACCATATGGTGCATATATCAGGCGCACAGTGTTTTCCACTGATTGATAGTAAATGCTAATAGCATTTGGAATCTGGCACAGATGAGTTTGGTATGCCTTTTGCAGTCTTTCAGTGTATGCTATAAATCAACAATTCTGAAATCTAACCCTTCAAAAATTAAAATAGTGTTTTTAAAAGAAAACAAAACCCCAAAACTTGGAAATTAGATGGGAAAGTAATACAGGTTTTCATCACTTAACAATGGTAATTGGGACCACACGGTTGTGAAGCATGACGTCACATGACTGCACTGACTTATGACAGCAGTTGCGGCAGTCCCAGTTGCCCTCATTAGGCGAATCCTGCACGATCACAGCAACCTGCAGTCATTTGATTGCCATTTGCAACCTCCTGCTGACTTCCCCATTGATTTTGCTTGTCAGAAGCCAGCAGTGAAGGTCACAAATGGCGATCACATGAACATGGGATGCTGCAATGAAGTCATTATAAGCCAGTTGCCAAGCACCTTAATCCCAATCACATGACCACGGGGATGCTGTGACAGCCGCAACTGTGAGGACCCATTGTAAGTCGTCCTCGTACAGTGCTGTCATAACTTCAGTCGCTGAACAAGTGGTTGTTCAACGAAGACTACCTGTAGAGCACATTCTGTTTTTTAGGTGCTTTTCTGCAGAGAATTAATCTAGAATTCTGATTTGGACAGTACAGATTTGAGTAATTATTATGATTATATCACAATAATTGTGATTGTTCAGGAGAGCTGTGATTTAGCAATTGGCTAATTTGGGTCACACTGGAGAAATTTCAGATACTTTTGATCTTTAAATTTTTGGGGGAAAATAAGAGTTGACTTTTTTTTTAAACCAATCACAATGAAAACAAAACGTTTTAGAAGCAAGTCACTACTGTGAAGTAGACTGGGGAATTTTAGTTAAAGCACTGTAATATATAATGAAACTGCATAATTTTTATAATAGACAACAGGAATTACACTGCTGTAGTGATTACAGTATACTGTACTGTATTTTCTTTCCCAGAAATCTGTCCTAGTGGATATCCCAGTGCTTCAGTTCTGCAATGCTTTCATTCAAAGGTAAATAGGCTTCTTAGCTAATAAACATCTCCAGAACACATTACAACTATTAATATATTCGTTTTTTTGCATACATAAATTATGTATATACCCTTCTGTAGAATTTTTGTTCCCAATACTGCAGGGACACAAAACTACTTCAGTTAAATAGCTGCAAACATGTTAAAATATAATCTCCATGAAGTTTCTTGTTATTACAATGCAGTGCAGCATCTTAGTCTGTTATTCCAGGACAGATAAATTAAAAGAGTCCATCACTTCTAGCCATCATCACCACAATTACATAAAAATTGTATTAAAAAGAAACACTGACAAAACTTGTGTACTTAAATGCTTTGGAGATACACACACACACACACACACACACACACACGTACTATTTGTAACCCATAACAGTAACAGGTAGAATAGCTTTTTAAGTTAAATTGCCTTTTCTGTAAATCTGTGATACTTCCTTTAGTATTTTCTAACCTAACCCACCCACTCTCAGGCTTCCAGTTTCAGCCCTGCAGGAGAACTTCCAGTCATTATTAGGAGTGTTCAAGGAATCTGTGCAATTGAATTTGGCACCACCTGGTCATTTTTTGCTTCTCAGGTATGACATTAGCAATCACTTTGGTACATATGCTAATAGCCACAATTGATCATTTTGCTGAGTTGGGTTTATTTTTCTGCAGCACTCTGAATGACTTTGTGACGAGAACTCCAAACCAGGAGAATAAAAAGAATCAAAAAGACTTGCAGGTACTCCACAGCATTTTTTGAATCTCTACATTTGGATTGGGGATTGTGTACATGTGTAAAATAGTATGTCGTCTTCTAACCTCGCAGCAAATTTGACAACTAATTTAATAGTCCATGAAAGATCAGTAGTTAATCTCTCATGATATGGATGAGATTAAACTGTAATGCTAAAGCAATTATTTTAAAAAAATATTCTTTTCTGAATTGTTCCCACTTTCAGAATGTCATGGAAAATTTTTCTATTTTCCCAGGCCTTCAAGTAGAACCGTGGTCTAGCCCTTGTAGACTGTTTTATCGCAATTCAGAGTCTGTCTTCTGAACATTTATGATCTCTCTTCTTTTCATTGTTCTTACCTTTTTAATGTAAGCTGCCTAGAGTCATCTGGAGTCAGACAGCCTCTAAACTGAATGAATAACCGGAATTTCCAGAAATTTAGTAAATCCATACACAGATCTCTCTCCAAAGCCCTGGCCAGCTGCATATGGGCTGTAGTCTGCACACAACCCTCTTAAGCAGTTGATATCGAGGGTCACAAAAGAACAGCAAACTGTACTGCAAGGGAAGGGAAAGTCATTTTTTCACCCCAGGAGTCAAAATAAGTTGCCTGGTTGTGCTGTGTATCTTGACTTCAACCTGACTAGGCATGGGGAGAAGGCATTATCAACAAAAAAGTACTGAATTTGGCTTGATATGCTAACAGCCTCCCTGAAAAGCTTTGTGCGCAGCTCTCCTGGAATGCAGTTTGAGTAATGTTTTATTATGCAGCATTTTCTTTATTTCTACTGCATATTGTCTAGTTGTATGGATTGCTTTTCTTTCACAGTCTGTTTGCCTTTCAGGATGTAACGCAGAAAATATTAGAAGCAGTGGGAAACATTGCAGCTTCTTCGCTAGAACAAACTAGCTGGCTCAGCAGGAATCTGGAAGTGAAAGCTCAGTCTCAGATCTCTTTAGATGACTCCAATGTGGAAAGTAATCTGCATGGTAAGTAAATCAGAAATTGCACTAAATATATATATATAAAATACAAGTTTTAAACCGACATACATCTTAAGCTGAATGTTTGATGAAATGTAACTTTTGATAGTAGCATATACCTAAATCTTGTCTGCAACATACTTTTTAAACCTTAAGATGGAGAGAAGCAGCAAAATTAGAAAATTATATTAAACCTTCTCAATGTAATAAAGTTTAAAGATTTATTTAAAATGTATTTAAAATTTAAAATCCCAGCTCCCACTAATCTGTAAAAGTCTGAGCGAGAGAGAGAGAGAATTTGAACAGACATAAAACTACCTGGAACTGTGCAACCCAGTACTTATAAGAATTAAAATATTCTTCCTACAATTCACACATCTCTGATTACTCTCTGTTGTTTAATCCAGTTCTTTCAGGGTGTCTAATCATTGGCCCTTTTGCCCAGTAACATGAAATTGCAAGACCGCTAATGAGATTCAGTGAGAACAAAGAAACTGATTCTCCATTCGTGAATCACACTAGTCATGCCTTAAAAGAGTATTTTGAATCAAGATTGAAAAGTCTCCAAGATAGCCAGCAGTCCACTCCAAATTACAACAGTCCATACAGATGACTGTCAACCTTCATTTGAATGTAACCAATAAAGTGAAGCCCACTGTCTTGTTTTCAGTATTAAACTGTTCTTATTATTAGTATTGGAAATCAGTCTTATTATTCAGATTCAGAAGCTGAAGAGCCTGTCCAGTGAGCCTCAGCCTGCACCCCAGAAATTAGCTGAAGAGAGTACACCTGAGAGGCAATGGTGCAGGCTGAGTCAGCTGATGCAGACTCCTAGCTAGACAAGTCCCTGAACCTAGTAACGTGTTGCAAATTAAGAAGACAGGAGCAAAGGTGGGCATGCCATCTACTTAAAAGAAAGAAGGGTGACTCAGTCAAGCTGATAGTTAGGGCTACACAGTATTTATGCATTCACTTTTTCTTTCAGAAGTGAAGACTTTGCTTGTGCCTCTTTAATTTTGCTACTTTGAGCCCATTTCTCCATCCTATTCAGATACAGTGGGGCAAAAAAGTATTTAGTCAGCCACCAATTGTGCAAGTTCTCCCA